GCGTCTCAGGTTTCCCAAGGGACTGCCTTTCTAAACTTAATGTTTAAAAAGAAATCTATTTGCACGTATTATAATCAAATATTTTCCACAATCGAACCTCAATGGTCGAACGGTTGTACTGTTCTAAGCATTTGGTAACAGGAAACAATTGTCACATTATTGGTCAGGATATTTATACATTTAACGGCATTTCCGATGAGGGCATGTAATACTTATTTCGTCCACTTGGGGGAGCTCAGGTTACATGAGGAAAGCTTGGATTAAATCAAAGATCATCTCTCCTTAGGAACTGGGAATATTGTTGATTCATCCTTAAATTCAAGCTGGCGATTAAGAGTATAGTAAAACATTCCTTTGTCATCATTTCTAAAGGAATTTTTGTAGGAAAGTATTATGAACAAGCATTGATTACATTAGATGAAGGAGTGTCTTGCTAAAAATAAAAACACTGCACAAGTAACTTCTTTTCAGCACTAATATCAACAACGGATAGCAACAGCAGTTAACATAACTACTCAAATAGAGGCAAACGTAATCAGGTAACTAAAGATTTGATTAAACTTAATCAAATGCTTTGAGTCTTTGGAGACTGCAGTCCTTAGCCATTCAAAGTTCGGTGTCTGGACCATGTCACACTTGGGTGAGACAGGGGTTTTCCTTTTTGATGTGGTAATAAAACAAAGAAGAAGGTCAGTTGCCACGGAAACGTGTGTGGGGGGGCCACTTTTGATAGGCTGTTCAGGGAAATGCCAATGGCTGGTTCGTGTCTCTTTGTCAGTTTAACAGTCAGGCCCCACGTTATCGGCTTCGGAATCAAAAAGGTGCCAGTTTTATGGTCAGAGAAAGCAACTTTGACCCCTCCCCTTCTTCTCTGGGGAGGAGAAAGGAATTTAGAATAGCTCCGATTTTATTCAATATAAAATGCACAAATCCACACCGTTGTTCACTACAGTATATGTCATATAATTAGAATATCATCAAAAAGTTGATTTATTTCAGTAATTCCATTCAAAAAGTGAAACATGGATATTATATTCATTCATTACACACAGAGTCCTTTTTATTTCATTTCATTGTGATGATTAAAACTGACAACCAATGAAAATCCCAAATATTAATATATAATAAGAATATTACTTAAGACCAATAATAAAAAAAAAAGGATTTTTATAAATGTTGGCCAACTGAAAAGTATGAACATGAAAAGTATGAGCATGTACAGCACTCAATACTTAGTTGGGGCTCCTTTTGCCTGAATTACTGCAGCAATGCGGTGTGGCATGGAGTCGATCAGTCTGTGGCACTGCTCAGAGGTGTTCTGAGAGCCCAGGTTGCTCTGATAGTGGCCTTCAGCTCTTCTGCATTGTTTGGTCTGGCGTATCTATAGGGTTAAGGTCAGGCCAGTTTGCTGGCCAATTAAGAACAGGGATACCATGGTCCTTAAACCAGGTACTGGTAGCTTTGGCACTGTGTGCAGGTGCCAAGTCCTGTTGGAAAATGAAATCTGCATCTCCATAAAGTTGGTCAGCAGCAGCAAGCATGAAGTGCTCTAAAACTTCCTGGTAGACGGCTGCGTTGACCTTGGACCTCAGAAAACACAGTGGACCCACACCAGCAGATGACATGGCACCCCAAACCATCACTGTCTGTGGAAACTTTACACTGGACTTCAAGCAACGTGGATTCTGTGCCTCTCCTCTCTTCCTCCTGACTCCTTGATTTCCAAAGGAAATGCAAAATTTACTTTCATCAGAGAACATAACTTTGGACAACTCAGCAGCAGTCCAGTCCTTTTTGTCTTTAGCCCATGCGAGACGCTTCTGACGCTGAAACCCATGTCTTGCATACTTCTGTGTGTGGTGGTTCTTGAAGCACTGATTCCAGCTGCAGTCCACTCTTTGTGAATCTCCCCCACATTTTTGAATGGGTTTTGTTTCACAATCCTCTCCAGGGTGCAGTTATCCCTATTGCTTGTACACTTTTTTTCTACCACATCTTTTCCTTCCCATCACCTCTCTATTAATGTGCTTGGACAGCTGTCAAGTCAGCAGTCTTCCCCATGATTGTGTAGCCTACAGAACTAGACTGAGAGACCATTTAAAGGCCTTTGCAGGTGTTTTGAGTTCATTAGCTGATTAGAGTGTGGCACCTGGTGTCTTCAATATTGAACCTTTTCACAATATTCTAATTTTCTGAGATACTGATTTTGGGGTTTTCATTAGTTGTCAGTTATAATCATCAAAATTAAAAGGTATGAACACTTGAAATATATCAGTCTGTGTGGAATGAATGTGTATATTATACATGTTTCACTTTTTGAATGGAATTACTGAAATAAATCAACTTTTTGATGATATTCTAATTATATGACCAGCACCTGTATATAATAGCAAAACAGTGACGGGGACCATTTTTCTGCATGTGTACTTTTGATACTTTAAGTAAATTTAGATGATAATACTTACATACTTTTTTACTTGATTAAGGTTTTGAATGCATCACTTGTAGTGGAGTAATTTCAGTGCGGTATTAGTGCTTTTACTTAAGTAAAGGATCTGAATACTTCTGTTTTTGTCATCGTCTAGTGCACTTCGGAAGAGTTTGTGGCAGAAAGGCTTGTGACCTTTTTAAAGTGAGTACACAGTGCCACCTGGTGTTACAACTTTTTTTGATTAAGTAAGAATATAAGAAATGGACAATAAGGGAAAAAGTAATAAGATAAAATTATGTAAGAAAACAGCCATGCAGGAATCAAATTAGATTATTATAATTATTTATAATTCAAAATGTGAAGAATATGGCCCTTTAAAATGAAAATTAACTCAGACCTATGAATAAGAAATGCAAAGATGGTTTTGAAAAATAGAAATTATTCAGAATTCTCCACGCATTCACTTTCTCCACCACCAAATGGTGGGACTCACTCTATTGAATCAGTCAGTTCCTGTTGGTAGTTGCATATACTGGTCCATAGATGATTTAATTGCTGTAGCAATCATAGATCTAGCACAAGGAATCACACAACATGTCAGGAGGAGGAAAGCTCCCATAATAATAAACAGTGGTGTCAACAATTTTAGATGATAATACTTACATTTACTTTAGTAAGGTTTTGAATGCATCACTTGTAGTGGAGTATTTTCAGTGCAGTATTAGTACTTACTTAAGAAAAGGATGTCAATAATTCTGTCTTTGTCATTGTACATACTGCATGTGGGAGAAATTTGCCTTATGAGTTTGTGGCAGAAAGGCTTTGTCTGCCTCACTGGATTTCAAGCTTGTGACCTTTTTAAAGTGTGTACACAGCGCCACCTGGTGTTACAACTTTGACACCACAGTCTCATCAGGGACAAAAACAGGCTCAATACAAGTCGGTCATTACTGAAACTTGAACCAGCTGTCTATCGATAGTTGCTGATGAGTGTTTTCACATTTCAACTCCTTTTTGCTTGTCTCCTGCAGGACTTTGCCGAAGTCAGCATTTCCTCAAAAGTCTCCCATCTAGTGTTTTGGTTGTACAAATGTAATTTGCAGATATTCTATAAAAAGACAAAAATGTTTTTAAACTAAGGCAGTTTTGCTGTACCTGAATGGAAGAGGACACAGGTTCAGATAGATTGTTTAAGTCATTTATCAAGCAAAAATACCCAACATTTGCTGATTCAAGCCTCTCCTTGTGATGATCTGCTGCTTTTCTGTGTTCTTTTATATAAACAAACTGAATATCTTTGGGGTGTTGGTCAGACAAAACAAGCAATTTAAAGATGTAATTTTTATATCAGCATTATGTATCAGCCATTGGCTGCCCTGCTCTCTAAATATCGGCACCAGCCATTGAAAAATCCATACCAGTCGACCACTAAAACACAGCCCATGGTAATTTCTCAGAAATCAAGGTGACATCTTGAAATTGCTTGTTTTGTCCAACAAACAGTCCAGCTCCCAAAGATATTCAATGTACAATAATATTAGAGAAAAGCAGAAACCAGCATGTATCTTCTTTTTAAATCAATTAATGTCGATTAATTTTCTGTTGATTGGTTAGTTATCTAATCTTTCCAGCTCAAAACATTTTCTTCACTGTAAAGACCAACCAATTAATCAATAATCAGAAAAATGATACACAGATTAATTGATGATGAAAATAATCTTTAGTTGCATATTGTAATTTAACTGTTTTCTTGTATGGCTGACATTTATTTTTTTCCCAAGTGTAACAGCTGATTGACATCCTTCCATGACAATATACATTGCCATATACAGGATATCCTGCTGTGTGTGTGTGTGTGTGTGTGTGTGTGTGTGTGGTGCCACTAGAACACCGTGTGATCTGATCTGGGCTTAGTGGGGCCCGTGACTGGGTCGTGTAATTCATGAGGCTACAATATTTTTCGTGATGTTTTTCTGCACTCCCAGCAGTCAGCACGCCTTCCTTATCCCCGGGCAGCCCTCTCCTATTGGCTGCTGATCCTCTCGTCTGTTTTCTGATTGGTTCACTTCTCAGCTGCATTCACTGCCCATGTGTGCTGCATGTGAACAGCTGAACACTTGTTTTTCTTCCTACATTTGCTCACTCGCCCCATTTCTTCTTCCGCACTCTATATGTCCTTACGGTAACTTTTAAAAAGGTGTTTTCCTAGAAAGGAGAGTTTGGGTTTCTGCTTATAAAAACTTTGCGAAAGGGATTCAAGGAATTGTTTTTCTGCTGCATTTACACCAGACTGTTCAGTAAAATGTAAAGCATGTGCACTAAGAAGAGAACAACAGCAAAACGTTTGTTTCTGTGAATAATAGTAGACCGCATTTGTTTATATAATGCTGTCAGAAGAAAGGTATCCGCTATTTTTCTACTTAATGAATTATGTGTTTCTGTTTTGATTTTACAGATTAAAGTTGCTCTGAGGTGTTGAGGTGAAATCGGAAACATGTTATAATTCTGGGATAACATTGTAACTTGGATTATTAAGTCATTTAAAATACTAATCGAGTCAACTGACTGAGGTGAAATAAACACGGCTGAAATGCTGGTTGCGTAAAGTTACATCCTGTACCTGGCTCCTTGTTTTGCTCATCTCTGTTGCGCTCAGTCTCCAGTCGTTACGGTAATGAGAGAGCGCTGTTTCTCGGCTGATGCGTGACATGCACCCCCTCCTGCAGCCTGCTGAACCAGACTGCCAGAGCTAGAGCCCACCGCCTCAGTGTTTCACTAGGAAGGAAACGTCAATGATCCAGCACCCAGGATGTTGGACAACGAAGAGTTCATGTTGGAGACCTCCCCGCGGGAGCTCACCCAGAACCCGCTCAGGAAGATATGGATGCCGTGCAGAAACGGGCACATAGCTCAGAGACGGGGTAAGATGCAGCCGGCCGGCAAGTGCCGCAAAGGATGTGACTTGGAGGTGATGAGGGGGCATCTGCTAATAGCCTTTGTTTTGGGTGTTTATTCCATCATATTTGATCTCAGGCGTGTTTCCTTCAGCCCAATCTAGCGCATTAAGCGCGGTTGTTTTCGATGTTGCGCACTAATAAAGCTAATAATGCTGAATATTTTTGCCCTTTCGTGCTTTCCAGTGTTGCATCATCCTCAGCTTATGTGGCTCATTTCCCCCTAAATGTCCCATGCATGGAGGTACATCTGAAACACGCTTAGAGGAGTAATTGTATGCTTGCCTAAATTGATTTGGCCGTGTGACACACGCATGACTCAAATGCATCAATTTACCGTGGACCGCCACTAAAAGCCAATATGTCTGATGGTGTTAGCCCTTCAGTCTGGATGTGAGAGTGAGCAGCTGTGTTTTCATGCTCTCAGTCTGGCTTGCTGTCTCTGCAGGTCAGCTTGTTTTTGCTGAGTCAAACCATAGACCTTTTTTTTTGTCTTTTAAAACAGGATGCAGCCAGTCCAGTACTGCATCTAGCAAAACACTTAACCACACTTCAACTTTATCTCTAATCATTTAGTGCCTACTTTACTATTCTCACTATGAGTCTCTTAGACATCAACCCAAAACCCCTTGTGTTGTCTGTAATATGAAGGAGCATCTCCAGTAAACATTAAGAGTGTACAGGCTGGAGTTTGGTACTTTGAACTAATATTTTTTTCAACTAGAGTATTCTTGAATGATGATCTTGAAGAATGTGGCTTGTTTGTGAAGTCAGTTCACTATTTCAGTTGTAATATTTCCTCTCTCTGGCGCTTTCTGTAGTAATGGGAGTCATTGTCACACAGAGTGAGTTGAAATCTTTCCAGTAATTGTTCTCACTGCTTAGTGTAATTACGAGTAACCTTCAAGACCAGTTAAAGCTGGGGTAGGAATGAAAATGTGTTTTGGGGGAGTGGCTTTGGAGGGAGGTCTGATGGGAGGGATTGTTTTTTCGGTTGGATACTTTCAACTTTACCTACCCTAGATTCAAACTCTTGCTGAATGGAACAATACTGACAAGCCATGTTCAGCAAATGAAATGTGAGTTCAATCCATTAAAAGTATGCGTTTCTTTTTTCTCTCTCACAGTATGTATGACAAACTGCCCGACCCTTATTGTGACTGTAGGACTTCCAGCCCGAGGGAAGACTTACATTTCAAAGAAGCTTACGCGCTACTTAAACTGGATAGGTGTGCCAACCAAAGGTAGCAGCTACTGTACACCCGTAACACATACACACATATATTAACATAGTAATATTTTACATTAGAAACCAGCTATACTCCCATCTTTTTTATCTGTAACAGAGTTCAATGTTGGCCAGTACCGGAGAGAGTGTCTGAAGATCTACAAGTCCTTTGAGTTCTTCCGTCCAGACAATGAAGAGGGCTTAAAAATCAGACGGTAGGTGTTCACTGACTTTACTACCTGTCAGCCTATATCATGCAGGGCCAGCCAACCACGATTCCACCCAAAGACTCCGACTACCAGGCGCAGAGCTGAAGGCCAATTGCAGAGGCAACGAGGAGGACCTCTAGTGGCCTTTTTTTTTTTGAAGAGGAGTAGATATGAAGTTAAACAGACTGACCGGTAACTCGTTGACAGTTTGGCGATAATCAGTCTTCATCATCAGGACCCACGTGGGTAAATCAAACTCTTGTGACTTTGACAGTCATGCAGCACTTTAAAGCCTCTGATGTGTATATTTATCATCTTTGGTGTCACAAAGAGCTCATGAAGAAATGACATTATTAACGCATGTTATGAATAATGATGTATAGATAGAACGAAGAGGAGGTGTCTTGTACAGCAATGATTCAGGGCTTATTACTGTGGGATTGCCTTTGAAAATGCACACACACTGACATGCATATGTGGTTAACATATTATTTGCATAAATATATACATGACAGATCAATTATAAGAGCGCTTCCTGAACAGATTTCACAATCAGCAGATGGATTTATTAATACTTTAGCTTTTGAAATAATGCTAAAATCACATATCTGCTAATCCTGTGGTTGGTTCGTTTGCATTCACATCACAAGTGAAATGCAGTAGAGTCTTATTAATAGCTTTCAGCCCAAACGAAACACATGAACTTGGAAATCACACCGGGGTTTGTATTAACTGAACTGAACAGTTGAGATGTGAAGGCAAAACTTAGAGTGGCAGGGGACCTATACGGGGGTACTAAAGCGGTGGAATAAACAACAACACAAATAGGCCACGCTGTCCACGCTGGCGCTGTTTGCTGCATGAGTCGAGAACCTCTTGGCAGTGGTGAGGCCTTGTCTCAGCAGACATAGACACGGTCTGAGTCTGTCTTTTTTGCTGCAGTTAAGACACACTAACAAACTTTATTCAACTAAACAACAAAAATGCATGTTCAGTCAGGCAGATTGGGTCCAAGGTGGGCCCCTTTTGTAACTGGAGAGAACGGTGGCCTCGGGGCAGCCACACCCCATGGCCTCCCCCCCTCCCCCTACAGCTAACCACTGATAACAACTCCTTCAAGTAGAAAGGAGGAGCTTGTGTGTGAAATCAGCTACTGAGGTGATCCGTTGGAGTAAAAACCTGCAGACTTTTGGCTCATGATTGATCACCTTGACTTGTATCGGTACTGTATCCTATACTATAGTATAAATGGTGTGTTAATACTTCTACAATACTGCATCTGTTCTTTTATATTCCTTTGTGCTGTTATGTCGACTGAAATTTCCCCTACGGTGGATTAATAAAGTTTTATCTATAGTCTTGGTGCTACATGATAATAAATTCACTGGAGCATAAGCTGAATGAAATGTGTGTGAGGCTGTGCTATTGCAGCAGGAGGTTCATCTTTAGATCGGGTGACAACAGATTAAGAACAATTATGTTTTTAGGACTGAAAGAAAAGGCACCTTTGTTTATCTTTGGTTCTGCTCTTGGAATGTGCAGACAAGGCCTTCACAGGGGGCTGCAGAGACATCATGTTCAGTGAAACCAGATGCTCTTTAGTTTAGGTGACGTCAGCGCATGTTCAGATCAAGTTCCGATCATGCTACACACTTGGTTTTCCATGATAAGATGAGAGTTATCTTTTGGCGGATGACCAGTCAGAATGTCGTTTGTTGTCTTGAATGCTGTAAGAGTTAAGTTGTAAGTTTGAGTAAGTAAGATATCCTGAAAGTTTTTTTTAAATGTGTCTGCCATAAGAAAAATTCAGCAGTCGTTGGTGAACAAATGCTGCGTGACAACTCTTTGCGGTACACTGAATCTATGTCCAACGTCTTTCCACAGTCAGTGTGCGATGGCAGCACTTAATGATGTTCGGCAGTACCTGAGTGTCGAAGGAGGACAGGTTGCGGTGAGTCCTCGATGCTGTCCCTAAGTTCTGGCAAATGATCGTATCAATACATATATACCGGAGCTGCATTCAGAGTGTTTTTCCTGCTGTTTCAGGTCTTTGATGCCACAAACACAACAAGAGAAAGAAGAGGGACCATTGTGAAGTTCGCCGAGCAGAATGGGTTCAGGGTATGTAGTCCTTCCATTCCAATCAGTCACCTTGACTTCATGACCTCCGAGTTTACTGTGTTGTCTTATCAATCCAGGTATTCTTTGTGGAGTCTGTGTGTGAGGACCCTGATGTCATTGCACAAAATATTGTGGTAAGCTTTGCCTATTGTCATTTTGTCCAATAGGAATAATTACAATATAAAATGTACTGTCTTATTTTGAAAAATGGTTGTCATAATGGTCCTTGAAAAAATATGACATTCATTCTTCCTGACATGATTCCAAAAATGTGAGCATGTGACATTATAGACTAAATCCAAGAACAGATGACCTTAAAATTTGGTGCCAAGAAGGCTCTGTCAGAATCAAGATGTAGACCAAGAAGACTTTGGACTCCGGTTCAGATTTAAACAAACAAACTCAGTGTGAGAAAGGCCCAAAGCAGCATCAGATAGCTAACTTCCTCTCTCCTCTGCTCACATCCTCTGCTCACATCCTCTCTGTTTCCTCTCTCTGCAGCAAGTTAAGTTGGACAGCCCAGACTACATTCACTGCAACACAGAGGAGGCCATTGAGGACTTCATGGAGAGGATAAAGTGTTACGAGTCCTCCTACCAGCCTCTGGACGAGGTACTGGACAGGTGAGGATACACAAAAATTTGGATCAGAATAAACTACCACCTCATTATATCGCAGATGGTTGACTTGACTCTCTTGCTCCAGGGATCTGTCCTACATAAAGATCATGGACGTGGGCCGTCGTTACATGGTGAACCGCGTCCTCGACCACATCCAAAGCCGAATCGTCTACTACTTGATGAACATCCACATAACACCACGCTCCATCTACCTGTGTCGCCATGGCGAGAGCGACCTCAACATCAAGGGGAGGATCGGAGGAGACTCTGGCTTGTCTGCCAGAGGAAAAGAGGTGTGTGTGTGTGTGTGTGTGTATCACGTGTATGTTAAAGATGTGCCAGTATGGTTTTTGAAGAGAAATCACTGGATGGAGTATCTTTTTAAAAACATTTTTTTTTACAATGGTGTCTTACCTTCTAGTTTGCCAAAAGTCTGAGGAAATTCATCCAGGGCCAGAACATCAAAGACCTCAAAGTGTGGACCAGCCAGATGAAGAGAACGATCCAGACAGCGGAGTGCCTGGGAGTGCCATACGAACAGTGGAAGTCTCTCAACGAAATAGATGCTGTATGTCGACTCTTGTATTCATCAAAATTAATACAACAGCCTTTAAAGCATCTTCTGTATACTCAAGCTAAACACACCTTCTACCCTTTACAAAGGGTGTGTGTGAGGAGATGATGTATGAGGAGATCCAGGAGCATTACCCTCAGGAGTTTGCACTGAGAGACCAAGACAAGTACCGCTACCGCTACCCTAAAGGAGAGGTGACTCTTCCAAATGTCTCATTATTATTACTTTTTAGAGGTGAACAGATTTTTGTGTCCCAACAAGTGCGTGTTTTTGACGGGTCTGTGATTCTCCGTCAGTCCTATGAAGACCTGGTGCAGCGGCTGGAGCCTGTGATGATGGAGCTGGAGAGACAGGAGAATGTTCTGGTCGTTTGTCACCAGGCCGTCATGCGTTGTCTTCTTGCATATTTCCTGGACAAGACTGCAGGTATGAAGGACTTACAGGAGGCATTATGGACTAAAAAAGCATTGCTGATATGATATACATCAGACTAATTTTTTTATTTCTTTTCTTTGGCTAAATTGCAACATATTAAAGTATTGTACTTCATTTGCAACCATGAATGAAAATATGCTGTGCGTCTTTGACCCTAAAACTCATAACATGTTTTATAACTTTCCATCTCTGCCTCCACAGATGAGCTGCCTTATCTTAAGTGCCCTTTACACGCTGTGTTGAAGTTGACCCCCATGGCTTATGGTGAGTTCTGTCATTTTCTTGGCTTATAATGACCATATAATATTGACTAGTATTATTCTTTCACATTAAGCTACTCAAGAAAGCATCCATGCCCTTTTGTATTATTTAGTCTGAAACATAAAAAGATAACTTGTGTTTTGTTTTAAAATAGCATACAGATATTATGACTGAAGATAACTTGGCAAGTTCTCTCCACTTGTTAACTTGTTATAAATGATCCCTGTTTTGTTTGCTCTGTGCTCAGGATGTAAAGTGGAGTCTGTCCCATTAGGCGTGGATTCTGTGAACACACATAGAGACAGACCAGAGGTAGGTATCCCAAGCAGCACACAGAAATGTCTCTCAGCAGGCGACGTAGACAACTTGAATCCACTGTGAGGGTGATTCACCTCACTGCGTACTCCATCCAACTCACCTGTGACCAGGGTCTCAATCGGGAGGATGTCTCTCAGTAAACACTGTAAAATCTGTGTGGGACTTTCTTTTGATTGTCTCTGGAGAGGTACATTGTATGTCTTCCATGGTAATTAGTCTGCATCTCCCTACTGAAGCAGGCCTCACAGTCAGTACTGAGCAGCCCCTCTCTTCTTTTACACATGGCAGAGGAAGCTGTGTTCAGTGTCCGTCCGCCGGCGATCCCTGACGGCAACCAAGACGACTGTGACATCACTTAGAATTGACACTCCTACCTCCATCCTATTAGCAATCAATTCAAATTTTTTACTTATCATGCTGGGTCTTTTCTTTTTCTCTCAGGTCTTCTCCTATGTCGGCCCTGAGAGCACTGCAACTTAAAACACAGGCAACTGGCGAAAACATCCATTTGACAACACATTTAGATTTTTTTTTTTAATAAAGCTGTGAAGTGAGGAAACGTGCTGCAAATACAGAAAACAACCAAATTCAGAAACACTGAACACAACAGAAAACAGTTTAGTTTATTTCTATTAAGCAAATTAATGTACATTGCATTTGTTTTTGGGGTAGCGATGACACAGTGGATAAAACACATGGTGTGAGAGACCTGGATTAAATTCCCACTACGACACATCTACCAATGTGTCCCTGAGCCAGACACTTTAACCCTAGTTGCTCCAGGAGGCGTGCTGATATCACTTTGTCATATCACTTTGGATAAAAGCGTCAGTTAAATGAGTAAATGGAATGTTTAAACATTCAGATTGCATCATTAAAAATTTTATTGGTAGGCTAGTAAGGAGCAAAAGGTTAACGTAGGTCAACAGCAAATATTTGAAATAATATCTGAATCATGCAATCAGAACGTTTGAAGGAAAGGAAAAAATGCATGGTATAAACTTCATTTAATTTATTGAGCCAAAAACTACGTCACCTGGAAACTTCTGTTTTTGATTGCGTCACTTTGCAGCATTGTTTTAAATTTTTTGTAAATGTTGCACATGTTGTCATATGTAAAAATGTTTTCTCCATTTGCTTGTTTTTTTTAATGCATGTTTAGTTAAGTTACAGCATGATGAGCTTTTAGGGCCATGGTATTTTTCTCTCTTCTTTTAACATCTTCATAAGTACATAACTGGAATCAAGTTTCAAGACAAAGCACTTAGCTGTGTGTGTCTATATTTGTGAGGAACAATTTGATTTTTAGACCTTGGGAGCAGAGGCGGGCAATTTTTGTGGGATTCCTGCTGGATGGGAGTCAATTTCATTATTCATCACAGGACTGGGACGGGACAGGACAAGTCAACGGGAGCAGGCGGGACGGGAATCATAGCTCAGTTTTGTTATATAAAAATGCAGTTCTAATATGAATAAAATCTATTTTTGTTCGATTATTATATTTTAATTGGGAATGGCATGGGTTGGAGTGAAAATAATGGACCTTCAAAGGGCTGTTTGAGGGTTCAGACTACATTTCAGAGTTATGGTTAGAATTAGGTTTAAATTCAGTTTAGGGAAACAGACTAGGAAATGCACTGTCAATAAGGTTCCTCACAAGTATAGAAGTACAAACGTGAGTGTGTGTTGTGGAATAAATACAAAAAACAGTGAATGAATGAAATTACATTAATATTGTTTTTAAATCTGTCTTTAAATATCATGTAATATAACATTGGGCATTTTTTAACTAATGAATGTTAAACCTGATTATGGTTTGTATTAACATGAAGCCATTTACAAGTTATATAAGCTAGCTGTTTTTTTTTTTTTCATACTTCTATGTATACCAGTTCATGTAGCCTTTTTGTTGCATATGAATTGACGAAAAATATACGTTTCATCCCAGTAATATCTTTGTTTTAAAATAAACTTTGTCTCTGTCATCACTTGTTTACTGTTTAAATGTAAAGGGTTAATCTGCAATGCCCACCAAAATGTCAGTAAAAATCAGTAGACCTCTCCACTCCAATCAAGATGTGCACCATTTACTATAAAATCATCTCTAATAGTTTTAACCTGGGTAATTGATATCACACATGCTTGAATTGTTTTATCAAATGTGACATTTGTTTGTGTTTGCCAAGGTTTATTGTAAATATAAAAATCTAAGTTGAAAAGAAACCTCACTCTTTCTCCTGTTACTTTTTTTTGGGTGAAAATATCAGTGATCAGCTATTTGATTAGGACATTGAATGATTTGCCTTAGGAAAGCAGTAAGTAATGTATGAATCTTTATCTTAAGTAAAATGCTTACGTCTATTATCACTGAAAACGTATTTTAAACGTACGGCACCCACAAGCATATATATATATATATGAAAGCATGAATTCTGCTCTGACTAAAATGTATCAGTCATTTTACTGTCAATCATGATACCATAATCAAGCGGTTATTAAATGAACAATGAACAGTCGATTTGTAAACGTCAGATATGTAATGTAGGATTATAACTCATTCCTTTCCTCTCATTACGGTTTCAGAATGTGAATGTGCGGCGCACCACAGACGACGCCCTACAAACAGTCCCAGCTCACTTCTGATCTGCTGCACTTCCTGTTCCAACTGAGACCTCGTCCGACTTTCTGTTGGGACCTCTGAACAGCATTATGGGAACGGTGCTGGTCATCTGCCTACAATGGCAGCTTCTTCACTGATACGGAGAAATGAGTACTTTCCCAGACTCCAACTGTAAAGCACTTTCACTAAATGTAATCCATTTTTATGTCTGTTCTGTTGTGAACTATACTGTACTGTTACTGTAACCTGACTCCCAATGAGGAAAATGCCAATATTTTTGATATGTGAAATTACTGTTACTGTTTCAACAAACATATTCCTCTATCAGCATCTATTTCAATGACTATATTTAATATCATCTGTATATTACAGTATGTATTGTGTATACTGCCATTATGATTCCAGTGTTTCTGAAGATGTTTTTATTGTATTGCATCGTGAACCCCACAAATGTGAGGAGACTAACTATTTCAGTGAAGTTGCTGATTGAAACCTTTCAAAACACTTTTTTTTTTTTAAACAGGCTTTCTTTACTAGTTGCTGGATCATATTTAAAAAGGTAGCCACTGCTCTGTGTATCTGAGTAAACAAAGATTAAAATAAATCTTTTCTGAGCTGATAATCAAATCCTTACTCTCTTTGGACACTTTTTATCTGAGAAGTTCTGTAATCCAAAATCTTGAGATGAGGCCCTTCCTCTGTAAGCAATATAGTAGAACCAAAAAGAGATATGACGAAATGCTCTGACAAATCTTAAGTTGTGTGTCACTTAGAAAGGCACCGTTTGATTGATGGAAATTATTTTATTGGTCAAATGAGAGTGTTAAGGTTCTGTGCAAACTGTACACATGTTTGTCTGATGTAAGTTTTGTGTGTAAATCAACATGTCCGATATGGTATGTCAATTTCTGGAAAACTACAATTTCTGTAATATTAAACATTTGATATGGTATATAACTGTACTGAAAATATAATACCAAATGCCTTGTTTGTCTCCAGCTGTCAAAATCTCAATAAACCCTCAGTGTTTGGGGTAAAGCTGCTGCTTTATGCTTCATAACACCACACCAGAATAAGAAAAATCACTAAAATACAAAGGATAATGTTTTTATTTATCTTCACTGCCAGCAAGTATATTTATTTTAATTATTTCCATTTACAATAGGGTTTACTCTGTGTACTTGTGACAAGAAAGATGTGCCAATTGATTGCCCTCATAGTTTAATGTCAAAACAGCTAAATAAAAATTTGTGCACATAATATATTTATATATATAAAAAAAAAAAAACATTTAAATTATTTTAAAATTCCATATTACCCTGTGCTCACAAATATTGATTACACATGTCTTTTTTAAGGACCTGCCCTGACTTATGTTCTAAAGGCAGTAAGTATTGATTATGTACAAACATCAATATTTTTGAGCAGAGGGGCATTTTAAAGGTGAAAGGGCAAAGCCTCATTGGCCTGCACATCTTTACTGCACATTCTAATGTTTCTCCACTTCTCTTCTTCTTCGCTGATCGTATTTTGTCACCTCTCTGCCGTGATGTGGACACTCCACAGTGACGGCCAGAATTGCAAGGAATGTATTCCTGTGGATTCTCTCTCTCAGAACTGCAAGAGTAAAACAAAAACTGTCTAAGCTACAGTAGAATTATATTACTTCCCCTATAATAATATAACTCCAAACCAACTATAATATCAATGACATTTTAGCACTAAAATAACAGCATGATACATTACTGAATCAAAGACCTACCATACAAAACTCAGACACCCTAATGTAAAAAATAATGCAAAAACATACACTTCTGCAAATAAGGTTGCATCACTGTTTATAGAAAAAGTACAACTTACATTTTTGAGGAACTCCTCAGCGACAATACGAGCCCTGGCGTTGACAGACAGCTTCATTTCACTGATCTCCTTGTCAATTTCCTCCATGAAATGAATGACAAAGTCCACCAGTTTATGTTTGTACATCTGCTCTGTGTGGAAGTTGGTGATGAGAAAACTGATGTCATAGCCCTGCGAAATGAAGACAGGTGACAAAAGAAGGTTAATGATCCAGATGTCACATATCGTATCAGTTTGAGCTGAATATGGTAACCTTTTAAACGGTCATAACTGACACAAATGTAAATCAAGGTTCCCAGTATTTTTATATGAATGGATATAAAGATAGTGGCAAAAGTAATTTGTAGTACAGAAAAAAAAAAAAACATAAAACAAACACACTAACAAATTGGAGAAATTGGAGAAATCAAATTGGCACAGTAGCCCAGGAAAAAAAAATACAATAAAAAGAAGAAGCAACAATCAGAAGCAAATATATAAAATATACATACAATTTACAATCTAAATAGAATATGGTCTCCATGTGTACATGTGGAAAGTTTTAGAGGTAATTGTGCATGTGTGAAAAAAGGGTTGTGCTTGAAAGTTGAGTTTCTATCAGCGGAGATGGGAGGTGCTGGGTGCTGTGGCATTGTGGAGTCTAATGGCTGAACAGTTGTTTACATTCATATTACAAAATCATTTTAATTTTTGTTCCACATTCTCATTTACAGAACAATACACTGCTTAACAGGTTTGTTTTTGTTTTGAGCAATTTAAGCATAGCATACAACTGAAGAAGTATGTGTATGAATAGGACTGACCCATTTTCAATGCTCACTTACCTCCACTGGTTTCCTCCTCAGGATGAAGAAGTTCTCTGCTCTCATCATCATGAAACGCATGAATTTATGGCATAGGATCTTCTCAATCTCATCTGCCTGCAGCAGCAGATCATTTAAAAGAAACAGTCTGGATTACAGATACAGTTCTGACCTTTACATCAGTCACATTATTCACTTTTACTAAGCAACCATCTGTTTTATATCAGAATCTAAACACATAATCAGTGGCACCCGGGCAGCAGCTGGACTGACCTGCTTGACAGCGATGCTGACTCTGACAGAGTTGATGGATCCCTCGATCAGAACTTTCTCCTTGTCGTTACGGCTGATGATCACAGGCTGGAGGAGCAGCTCTTTACTGCTCCTAGAAGTGGGAGACACGTACACAATTCATTTTCTGTCACGCTCGGTATACAGGCATTAGAAGGTGAAACTCAGATTTAATCGCTGCAAATTCACACTCAAAGTCACTGCTACAGACTCACCGTACTTCCACCTCTGGCTTGTTGTGTCTCTCCACCACCTGCGAGGAGAAACTCTCCAGGCAGAGGGCGGCCTGCAGAGTAGCACGAACCGCATTGAGATATGGACGCAAGGTTGCCGTCTGAGGGAGGAATGCAAGGAAAGAGTAGATGAGAATCATTGCTCAAGAGGAATGTCTGACGTGTGACAGATCCTGTGGATCAACAAGTTTCAAATACACAGTCTTCCCTGGTTTCACTTCTCCTGTTAACGGTGAACAGTATAAGGTTTACTGACATCCCTGAGTCTCAACCTCGAATTGGCTATTGCTTGTTTCTGTCCTTTGTGACACACTAGCATTTCATCTTAAGCTGCAGTCACACCAAAATGACTTTCAAAGTCGTCAGAACACTGTACTGTTCACACTACACAACTTTCTGTTTTGTAATTGGGAATGTGGGAGTTGCAGTTTGCACACTACATGACTAAAAACTATCGTGAGTGGCAAATGGTGTAGAATAACTATTTCTGTTGGCTTTAATGAGATTGATTGTTTCTGGTTAAACAAAAAGGATCTAACTGTTTAAAAAAGGTCTTTCTCTGTGGGGATCATTTCCACGATGTTGTCAGACACTTGTATTAACAATCCGAGTCAGTCAGTAGCAAGAAAAACTAAAATGCAATACTGGTACCAATTTCAAAAAATGTAGTCTCAATTAGTCACATAGACACAAAAACATGAGAAGTTAGGCTGAAAAATACCAAAGTTACACGTTACACAAATGACCTTTCAAGTTGTAATGGCCTGCCTTAATGTGTCAAATGTATACACTGCAGTTAAACCCTGTGTGACATGTTGTGGCTTAGCCTCCGCAGTTTGAGTGCATTCATCTCCATTATCTGAATTCATTATATAGTAAATACAGATGCCTAAAAAAATCCTGTGTCCTGGCACAATGGAGCCCACGCTTATTATGTGTACACTACACGATTTGGAATATGCAAAAGGTTAATGTCAAAGAACAGAAAATGTAGCGGACATTGATACAAATAACCTCCATCTTATTTTAAGTGATTATCACACTTGTGGCCTTACTGTCCACTCTTGCACTTGGCTGTATCACATTAGAGCCACAAAGCCAACTATTTGTAATGCTGCATTTGTCGCCAATGTGTAACAAACTGCAATATTTTTTCAAAGCTGACAGAATATGCAACTGATTATGTTGATATCATCTATCAAAATCATCATCTGAACAGCTGGTACCAGCAAAAGGTTCAGCTAATTAGTTTACCAGGTGTTGATTTTGAGAATGGCAGGAAACACTGCCAGAATTTAAATAAGTGTTTCTCCATATAATCAAATGCTATTTTAACAAAACGATTAATTTTTTTACGCTGATGGACAAAGAAGCTCGAGAGGGTGCAACACAACATCAGCTGGGCTGGTACCAGCTAACCTAGTTCACCAGATGCGTCCTCTCCTGTCCATCATTAGTCCGCCTACTACGTTACTTAATACGTACAAAGTATTACTTCAGAGCGACAACCGGCCTCACACGTCATAATAATAGAATGTGAGGTCACTGTCTGTATGCTTTATGACGAAGCAGGATTCTATTCTCTCGGTTGTTAGCTGAGAAACCGACCAGTTAGCGTTAGCCTGTTAGCTAACAGCTTGCTTGGGTAGCCTAAATAAGAAAAAACCCGAGCTGCGACGTTTTCGCGGTTGCAGTCTTAGTCGAGGAGCTGTAATGACTTTATATTGACCATTTCTGATATTTGTAACCGTTAAACTGCGTCGGTTTATCAGCACATTTGTTCTCTTACCATTTTTCTGTGTGATGAGAGGCGGCTAAAGGCGGAAGTAGCTGCACTTGTCGGGGCTTTTCCGTGAACATACCAACTCAACTCTGCTGCTTCTGCTGCAAAACTAAGGCAACTGCACTTTTTTCTGCAGAGTATCAACATGACAAATAAAAGAGATTGCCGAGTGCTACAAAACCACCATTTAGCATTATGTTGTTAATCTACAGGTAACTTAATCAAACTGTGTTTGAATACTATAATGAATAAAAAAAGGAGAATATTTCCTTTCTTTTTCCTCACCGCAGCATAACAAACTCATTGAACACCAAACATACCAGTTTACCTGCTTATTTGTGTAACAGGTTGTTTTATTTTTCCGTTTCTGTGCTAATCTTCTAAAATGACCAATGACCAAAACGATGGTGGTGGTATACCAGAATCACTTTTCTCAGTTGTAAACATGCCACACATGTCATTTCTATGTTGACTCTTACAGCATGCGGAAGGATGGCTCTTTGCAGGGCTGTAACCATAGACTGTATGTAAAAAGGCTGTAACGTTAGCTACACCATTAGGGAGTGATGGGTTAGGGTTAGGGTTAGATCCTAAAGTATCGATATTTCTGATACCAACGTTTCCTGCTCTAGGATCGATACTTATATAAAAGGATCCATATCTAAACTGTGTGTGTTTTATTATAAGTATCTTACTATCACCAGGATGGTCTAATTATAGTCGTTTGATAGGAACTACTTTTCCTTCCGCCTGTCAAAGTCATGCTTGCACTACGGCTCTGTGACGGCGCTTCTTTGAAGTGAGCAGCTCCAGCCTTTTACATTTCCTGCGATTGAATGCTGACTCTGGCTGACTGTAAAAACAGTCACATGTGGCTCTATCTTAGCTGTGAAGGTAATAATGTTGCTCTGTGAGATGTGTGTGCAAAGACAGTGAAATACTTTCGCAACACCGCAAACTTCGCTAAACATCTGAGATTAAGTCTGTCACAATAATAGGATGATGTTATGAAGCGGCAAGTTCTGGGCAGGATATTTTTATTATAATTAAAGAATGACAGTAGTTTTATGTCTTATATGCAGCTATTATTTTGAATTGGTAAGGCTACAGCCTACACCTTATTTCTCTAATAAATACAGAAACGAGAGAGGGAGGTCACATTAAACTAGAAATAAAATTGGTATCGGCCATACCAGCCTGGGTATTACTTGGTATTGGATTGTATAGGAATTAAGTGGTATCGCATATCACTATAAATAGGGACACGGGTCCTGTAATGTTTTTGGCAATAATTACAGACGTATTACATGTACTTTTTAAGGATGTTTGATATTTTATCGACAAAATATGACTAGAAAAAAACTAAAATTAAAAGGGATTGTCCACCACAACATACCTGAAGAATGTATGCATGTAGAAAAGCTTTTTAACCAAAAATGGAAAGAGATAAAAAAAATAAAAATAACAGAAAATATTAGCATCTGCACACTGAACTGATTTAGCAGGAAACGCACAGGTGTAACATTGATGATGGCTCAGTTCTATCCAGTGTCTGTACACCAGCATTCACAAACTCAGTGCCCTACTAGAACTAACACACCTCTGTGGAATTCAGTTGTTAATGTTATCAATGCTTTTCCTGCTGACAATCCAAAATGTCTGCTGTGAAAAAGGTCTACAGGTCGTTGAAACGGAAAATCTCTCACAGTAAGATCAACACAAGTGTAAATAATAAAATGAACCATGGCTGAATTCCACTTAGCTGCTTCAGTTTCAGGCTCCTGGCATTGTGTATGTTGTCTCCCGGTCATGTCCACTTATTAGTAACACTTGTGCTTTTCCTACTATGACAAGTAAAAGGCATTAGGAACATGGCCCTGTTCTTGCAGGCCATGCAAACCCCAAGTTCGCAGTTATTCTGGTTCATTTGACCTGTTTTGACATTAAAGGTAGGCAGCACTATGCTGTGGGTATGTGTGAAATTTAAATTTACAACTCACTACAGAGTGAACTATTGACTGATTACTATGTAGGAAATATGGAACGGGTGAACAAGAAGTGACAGAGTTTTTCGAGGTCACCCAATTCTAAATAATTAAAATAATGGAAATAAAGATGTACAAGTGAAAGTGCCCTGCGATAGACTGGCGACCTGTCCATGGTGTACCCCGATGTAAGCTGGGACTGGCTCCAGCCCATGAAGGCATACAAATGTGTATGGTTCACATGAGGCAGTGTCCGGATACTTTCAATAAATTAACCAAACAAAAACTGACACACAATTGTTGGACCATTGATATATTCAAGAGTTTTATTATTTGATGTCCCAATTTTCTTTGACAACATCATTGGCATCGAAGTGATTTTTTTCTATAAGGATAAGGAGTAATACCAGGGCAAAAACTTGGATCTTTTCTTCAAATGGAAAGAGAGAGCATCCATTTCAATTCAATCCATCAGCCATTTACCTTTATCATCTATACACCGTAATGCACAGTCCGTTTAAAATATTAAGTACTTAGCCAACCTGAGCTACAAGCAGATAGAGAGAACAGCAATAACAAAGACATGACAGAAGACAGGTGTATGCTGTGTTGGTGACACACATTGTAATTCCATAGCGTTGAAAGATGTCTGATGAAGGACACAACACATAGAGCAGTAATAATAGCGGTACAAGTAATGTTACATAAAAGGCAAATATTAATATATCAAGGATTTAATCCATGTTTTACACTGTGACGTTATCAGCCTTTGCTTAATGTCTACTTAAGAACCTTTCTTCTGCACTGTGAGGCATTTACAAACCCATGAACACAGCCTTCAAGGGAAAAGGCAGTACAATCACCAAAGTGTAGAACAGATTCTCAGGAGGATATTTGACAGGGGGAACAAAGTGTGGAGGTATAATTTGAAGCTTACCAAAAGACGTGTAGTAGCAGACGTTGCCCAAAATCAGTCATCCCTCTATAACAATTAAAAAGGCTTGAACATAAAAATAAAGTGCAAAAAAAAAAAAAAGTATGTTTTTCAGATTGGCTGGAGAAATAACATCAGCGCGCGCATATTTATTTATATATATATAAGTTTGCTTGATGATTCAACTTGATTACTTGTAGTAGGCAATAGAGAGCAAGGACAAAACTGAAAGAGAATAATATACTTGGGATGCTGACATTAGCCAACATCATCTCACATTACAGAGCATCAGCCAGCCCATCTAGAGTTCCCAATTGCACTCTTTGAACGTGGCTCCATCTTGCTCCCCCAGTGTGAGAGTCAGGGGCCACAGTCAGAAAAATGTGGGGGGGGCGGGGCAAGAGATCACTCACTGTTGAGTCAGGGGCTTTGGGGTCGGAAGGGGTGTTCATTCTTCTCTCGTGTGATCTTTGGGCACTATATGTGTCAGCGTATTTTATGAGAGTACGCTAGTGTATTAATTTGTATACTAAGTGTGTGTGTGTGGGTACATCCATGTGCGTGGGGGGGGGTTGTGTCAATGGAATGAACAGTGGCGTGAAAGAGGAAGACCAATAGGGAAGTCCTTTCCCTGGGAGCGAGGTGCAGGTGATGGAACCGGTGACAGGGTGTTTTCAGAAAGCCAAGAGAGAAGATGGTCCAAGTTATCCTTCAGCAGCTGCAACTTTCTGCTGAAGATTTAGCTCCGTCATTCCTATCCAGTTTTATGGGCTCTGGGAATTCGTTATACAACTCCACCTCTGTCTCCTAACAGGCATCAAAAGAGAGAAAATAATCAGCACAGGAGAAAATGAAACTGACAAAGTACATGGGACACTGTTGTATAGACATTGCATTAAGATTAGTAAAACAAAAGCACACGTCTACAGTCGTTCATTAGTCATTTCAAGCTACTGTAACTCACTTGTTTGAGGGCGTTACGTGCAATTGTCTGGAATGCCTGTTCTACATTTATGGCTTCTTTGGCGCTGGTCTCAAAGTAGGGGATGTTGTTCTTACTCTGACACCATGCCTGAGCCCTTTTGGTGGTTACCTGTGTGCGTGAAGAGGAAAAGAGTCATCAGTATGTTGAGTTGAAATGCATAAAGATGGCTTTCAAGGTTTTCTCCAAAAAGAAAATCCTATTTAATAAATTGGCAATGTTAAGTCAAATGTTATTTTACGCAATTCTTTTTTTAAAATTTATGGTAAAGTGCATTTGCATGTATAGGGATGACAAACGATTACCGGTTTAGTGATAAACCATGGTAAAATTCTGTACAAATTTTTATTATCATGATAACTGTGTTCGATTACTGTGCTTTCATAAATACAGTCCAGCATCAACAAAAGTTAGCAACGGTCTCCCAGGAGCAGACATATGCGCAGCAAGCAATGTGGGTTTGTTTGGGTTGACGGAAGTCAGCGCTGCAGAGATTTCAGTTGCTCTGAAGTCTAAAATAAAAAAAATAAGAAAGCCAAAAAACACTCCCGAGGGAAACAGATTGAAGAAAATCGCCTTATAGCGAACCCAGGGTAAGTTAACTTTTAGGTTTGTCTGTCTAACTTGCTAACAGCTTGTAAACTTAAGCTCTCTGTCATAGCTCCTCATGTAACTACACGTTGTTCAGCTGCTGCATGCGTCATGTCTCTGCAGACTCTATACACCCTTCACATGATAACACGTTATGCAGTTTAGTCACCTAAAAAACATATTTTGTTCATTTAAAATCTGGCAATCGTCAAATTAGTTATAAATGAGTTCCAACGAGGAGAATGCTACACAAGACTCCTCTGTATTTGTGTCAGTTGTTGGGCTCATTGCAGTTACTATCACTGTCTTCTTACAGTTTTTCTCAGTCACTTTGGTACATTTCTCAAATCATCCTTAACATTTGCAAAACAGTTTCTTTCTCAAACAGGCAGTACAAATAGCACAACTCAATGTATTATCTGAAAAAGCCCATTACTTGCTCTAAATCCATAGTCTCTCTCTCAAAAGTTAGTCTTTATGTGAGCGCCATCAGAATTACAAGTCCTTGTGCCATTGTTTACAAACAAGATAGTCAAAAATGTTTAGCCATGCTGTCAATGTAACAGTGTACTCTTAAGTATTTTCTGATGTAAACTATGGCTAAGGTTTAGATGACAATCATTGAAAATGCACAAGTTATACTTTGCGAGAGACAGGACAGGATTCACAGTTAAGTTTTTACTGTTTATATTGTAGGCCTAATTTGTTGACGGAGCATGTCATTGTGATACAGAAAAGAAAAAGACAAGACCGTTTTACAGCACTGCATAGCACAACAGTAAAAAATACAAAATTAGAAATGCAAGCGTGGGAAACACCCCTTAGGCTGACGTTCCTGTCTGTCGGGTCATAGATTCTCTTCCACATCACAACAGATATCTTCATCAATTCAGGACACATTTACAAAAAAAAGTCTAATAGACATGTATGGAATCTATCTATCCACACACACACCTACTGGCAATTTGCACTATTTACTACTCACTGTGTTGTTAGTGTTTACTGTGTATGGTACTGTGTGTATCGGGAATGGCCTGAGTGCTGTGTTGCTATTGTAGTATGTTGTGATTTTCTTACTTTGTTTATAGTCCTTGTATGCGAAGAATATCAATAAAGTTTGACTTTATTCAACTTTGATTTTTGACGTGTTCAACCATTTTGTATGTATCGACTTATGCAATGAACTTATGCCTAGATGTTTTGGGAGGCAAGACTATTTAACCAAGAACTGGTATAATACATTGTGATCAACAGGACATAAGCAATTGATAATTTAGGAAACAGCAGACAATTGTACATAATCATTTGCATCAGTGTGTCAAAGCATTTGCAATTTGTTCAAAATAATAAGAAATTGCTTTTATGATGTGCACAAGTGATGAGATGATGTGGAGGTTGAATTATTAGTGGGAGATTGTTGGGTCTCTGTAAACAATATTAGAAAGAGTCCGGTCTAGACCTGCTCTATATGAAAAGCGCAATGAGATAACTGTTGTGAATGGGTGCTATATAAAAAAAAAAAATTTCATTGAACGTCAGAAGAAAAAATGCAGCTGAAACATATCTGGTGTAGACAGTCTGATAAGGTGGAAATCGGAAAAAGGGCCTTGGTGTCTGAGGAATCTGACATTTGAATGCAGCATGGGTAATGATCTAAAATGACTTCACGGCGGAGGCATTGTCCACTCATACTAACCTGTCTGTTCTCCAAGTCAATCTTGTTGCCTAGCACCACGAAGGGGAAGTTCTCAGGATCTCGAGGGCTGGCCTGGATCAGAAACTCATCCCTCCAGCTGTCCAGCGTCTTAAAGGTGTTGGGTGCAGTCACATCAAACACAAGCACACAGCAGTCTGCGCCACGGTAGAACGCAACACCCAAAGACTGGAACCTCTCCTGGCCGGCTGTGTCCCAGATCTAAACAGCCACAAGGAGACAAAACGTCCAAGATGGCGGACTGCTTACAAATATTAATAGCCATAGAAATAATCCAAAACACCAAGATGCAATCTTCAGTTTGTTTTGTTGGGTTGTTTTATAAATTGTGCTGTACCTGCATTGTAACAAGCCGGTCGTCCACCATCACCTCCTTGGTCAGGAAATCGGCTCCTATTGTAGCTTTGTACTGGTTACTAAACTTTTTGTTCACATACTGGTTCATTAAGGAGGTCTTCCCAACTCTGAGAGTAGAAAACAACAGACAGCAGGATAACAGATACTGTAGGTGTAGACCAAGGGCAAAAACATAACGTGGTACAGGCTGATTGATGCATTAATGGGATGCATTTAGAGCTGGGTGATACATGGATGTAATCCATTTAGACTTCATCCCACTTGCATGCATCTAGAAGTATTACAGATGGTTACAGATCACACCATCTCCCAAGTGTAACTACTGCAACAAGCAGCCTGTGGAGAAGTAGCCACGAGCAGGGTCTTTTACCCAATGTGATAAATGACAAATAAAGGGGCACTGAAATTACAATGAGATTAGCCATCGTTATATAACACATAAAGCGAAAGGAAGACAAACACTCCAGTAAATTCAGTCCGATTCCTACCACTGCATTATCTGCAGCCACTATACGATCTGTGTGGGTGGGTGGGTGAGGGAGAGATAGCGTGCGAATGCCTGTGGAGACAAGTAAAATGTTTATCTTGCTGGTAGTCAATTCATCCATGTGTTTCTACTTTATGGATTAGCTGTTAGCTACCTAGCTAAACTACTTTTTCTTCTTCTGACATTTTTGGCAGTTACCAAACAGCTTCAGGTGCATTACCACCACACGCTGGAGGAGTGTCAACCCTGATTTGCACGTAGCAAACCAAGACAGATGAAACAGATTTATGATCTAGCTAATGGAAACACATATGTGGGCAATCGCACCTGGAATATGTCCAAAAAACCAAGCTATCGTTTAGAATATGGTACCTAATGTAGGAAACCACCAACAGTCATGGACAAAACATTGTCAAATTATCAGTACAAGAAGTCATTATAAAAAGTAGATTTTACCAATATCATCCAGCTCTACTATCTGTTATCACAATGTTTACAATGTAAACCTTTTAAGAAAGACTGTAAACCATCAAGAGCTTTTGCATGACAAAGCAATTACTTTTCACTGACAAGTCCATGCAGTACTTAGCATGAAAAAGAATGGCAGTGATTAAGTTTCATTAGGTCTGCAGATAAAGTGTGGTTGAACAACTGTAGGGCTGCAAGGAGCAGAGGTCCGCCTGGAGACGTCTTATGGCAGAGAAAAACTCTGGCCAACAAGGAAGTAACACTAACATAAACTGATTAAAGAAGCAAATTCATAAACTTAAATGATTCGACTCAAAACTAAAATAATACCTTAGCACCAAACTATTTTTAGAACAGACCTGACTTATGGTTTCCTACCCTGCACTGCCGGTTTTGACATGTGGGAGAGAAAAACGCCATGTTGAGACTCACCCAGAATCTCCCAGGATGATGACTTTCAAGAGCACTTTCTTTCTGGATGTCATTTTTCAACCGCTGCAGACAAGACAAAGACAAACAGCGAAAGGTTTAGCATAAAGAGAGGTCTCAACAATGCCTTCCTCACCTCTTCATTGTAAGTCACAACCTAATCTCCGGTGTCCTGAATAAAATCAACATATAAGTAAATCTGTTTCTAAAGAGACAAGCCCTTTGGAAAACATTTGCCTACATCTTTGTGTGCAGAGTTTTGTGCCCCTCGACCAATCAGGTTTGAATACTATTCATTCCAGTCATGTGCTTTCTAAGCTGGCAAATCACGAGGAACACATCATTCTTTCTCTCACACGCACCACAGTAAGTTACCTCCTAGACATTTTGTGCTGATATAACAGTCACTAAGCAGACAACCTACAGCAACACGTGTTGATCTCAGTACACTATCAGACATTGTATCTGACGGATAATACAGGATGATAATGTAAAATGACCAGCATTTACAACAGCATATTCAACATAAGTCTGTGAACACACCGTGTAAGGCCTTTAAATGTAATTTTTAATAACCTGAATTTTTGAGCAAGAACTGTAATTCACTGTTAGGCAATCCATGTAATTTCTGAACACTCAAATGCAGCAGTGAGCTGTAAAGTGCATCATTTCTCATCAAAATGAAGCAAGCAAGATCTGAGATATTGCCCAACATGCCAGTGAGTGAACACATTCTGTATTGTCACACTCTAGCAGAATTAATTTAGAAAAGTTCAAAACTGCAGCTAGGAGAGACTTCATTCAATCATGTTTCACAGTTGTGAGGAAGTTAACAGTGCAATTGTAGAAGTAGCAGTTTCTAACACATAATAGATGACATTGGGTCGGTAACTGTGATGTCAACAATGCTGGAATAAAGGAAATCCTCACTAAGAGGTACAATCCTGATTATTGGTGCCCGAGATGTGGAACATGACAGAGACTCTTTTAGTTCCTCCTACTTTTATTCACTCTACCTTCTATATATCTCAACAGTATCCTCTATACCCTCCACAAATTCAATATGGCAGGCAAAAATATAATGACTTTGTTTTTCATGGAGGATCTGAAATTACAAAATGAACTGCGGGAGAGCTAAATAAACAAAAAATGGCTACGTTACAGTCTTAAGGGGTTATCTTCAAACCTTATCCATTTGCAAATAAGCTAAAGAGACTAAAATACACATTGATTTCATAAGAGGCTGCTTTATCTTTATTTCACACATATGTCTAATCTGAGCCATGTAAACAGTCGAGCACAATGAAAGTCTACTGTAGGTGTGCATACTCTCAGTGAGAGTAGTGTTTTCTCACAACACGTTGAAGATGATCTGAACTGTGACTGTGGCTAAATGTACTGTATGTACAGTACATAGTACCCAGAAAAATATAAGGCACAATTCTGTCCCTTATTTTGGGGGAAACAAATTACTTTCATCATTATTTTGTGGCAGGGAAGTACAATAACCTGTTAGACAACAGTTTAACGGAAAACTTGACCACTTCCCATCAGCTCATCACGTGAGTCAACATAGGATACATCATGCAAAAGACATTTTAGACATGCCAATCCACCAACCCAAACAGGTTTTTGGTGCAAACCAATTATAGAACAAGCAATGAGAGAGAAAAAAAAAATCACAACTTTGACCCAGCAGAATCAAATCATCATGAGCACTAACAGTAAATCCAAACTCTGAAACCACACCTATAATATACAAACACTTCAGTTCACATCAGGAGCAGGAAAGTACACTTGAGTTATTTCTGAATGGAACAAGCACAGCACTCCTGTGACTACCGTACAGTGAAGCCAGATTAGCTGACAGAAACATAAACAGCACAACACGAAGTCTAGGCATGCTCAGACCACAGTCACATGATTACAGCCCAACCTCGACTCGGATCTTTAACCTCTCACAAACAGCAGAGCGTTAGACATTGATTGCTAAATGCCGACTACCATCTCTGACTGGAGGATAGCAGGTGATTGCCTCTCACTAATGAACAGTAATTAATTCTGTCTGTATTAAACAGGACTCAAGAAATACAATGACCCATTAACTGGCAGGTTTCACTGACACTAGCGTAAGCATTTTCTGACAAACTGAACGTTATCTTAATACAGATAAATAAAAAGAGACATTATTTGATAATCTCTTCCGGGTAGTTTATCACATCCTGTCTACTTTTATAAATGTCAGGCATAACAAAAATTAAAATTAACAACTGTTTCATTCACAGTTTGCCACCATCAAATTTGCTATCAAGTGAAATTTGTTTGTATAATCCTGATAATTAAAAATGTTCATGGTCAGTCTCCCATCTATTTATTATTTAATAATCAAAATGGATTTTTTTTAATAGTGGCAACAGCCCATCAGTGCACTAGCTAATATTAGAAATTAACTGTTCGTGGATTCACATTGTGTTCAAAACTGTTAAGTGTTGGACTAAACTCCCGACACGTTCCCTACTCTTTCAGTAAATCACTGGCACTGGAATTCACAGCTCACCTTTGAAATGGATTATGCATGCACACCCACAGACACAAACAAACTCTGAACTAAATATAGATTCTGAGTTCAAATACAGTGGCCCAGGGTTAAGATGAAGAGTGGTCAGTATGGTCAAAATCAAGAGTATCGATAGAATGAAAAACAAAGAAATAATGTGTAATAAAAAATTTATTTATATTAATTAAAGCACAATACTATAACGTTAGAAAGTAGTATACAATATCATGTGCAGCAAAGGATTACGATGAAATAATGCTTTCAGAGGAATGGTTCCCTTACATCTACACAGTAATACATTGTTTAACCCTCTGATGCTGTAATTCAGGAATGTATTGAATTAAAAAAAATGTTTTGAAGGTTGCTTTTCCTCATGAGCCTACATACAAATCAAGACTTTCAACTATAAACACTGAAGTACTCCAGTAGAGTGTAACAAACTGGTACACTGTGCAACGTAAAATGAGACGCAGCTCTGCATGATAACCATGACAACTCACCATGACAAGCACACATAAGCATAAGATGTGCTGATCAACTATAGGGAATCAACCAACTCATGGGATATGAGTAAATCTCAAATTAGCACTTATCTAAACTACTAGACAAGTACTTTGGAGTCGAAGTCCAGTTTAAGTAACCTGAGATGAGCCAAAACACTTGGCAACGACTGCAATTAAGCATTAAAAACTAAATCAGAGAGCAGTAACATGTCTCAGACTTCATACTCTGAATCACATGTAATAAGTGTTAAATTTTAAAAACCAATGAAGGAAAAGTAAAAGGTTAGATGTCAGACACCATTTGCACTTCAATAAGAAACATGGCAGCAGATTTCAGATTAGATCCAAGCAAGCTCTTTGGCACAAGCAAAGGGCGTTGTAGATCATTATATTAAGTACCTAGGATTGAACAGATACATGTGTGCCTGCGGGCCCTGTGAGTCACAACAGAAACAAAAACTCTTCAGCACAAAAAAACAAAGGACAAGTCCACTCTGCCTAGCAACAACACCACGGCACAGACACGGGACACCTCTCTCATACAGCCTGTTGACAGAAGACATGTCTAAAACTCTTTACTTGTTGTACTTTAAGACATGTTACCAACATACAGCTCGGCATATGATTAATCAACCATGCAGAAATGGGTGTTTTGAGGTGAAAGGCTGATTGCCCCCCGCCCCTCTGTAATGTAATGCACGAACGTCAATTAAAAAAGGTATTTAGAGAAATCAATACTCGTCTGTTAACATTTGATAAAACACCTTTTCGGTGCTTGGTTCGACCGACCTCACCTCCCCGGTTCTCCTTCCTTATTGGAGTCGACCCAAAAGAGCGACAGGACGGCCTTGTTTTTGCCGAACCAGCTTTTCAGAAAACATCGCACCAGCATTAACGTTAGCAGTTAAACGTTATAGCGTCGGCGTTTTATGAATACTAAACGTACTGAGGAGTGAAAAAATATTATACATATGAACAGACTGTTGTCGTCTCAAGAACTTACTTTCAACTTGTAACCGGAGCCGCGACTTGTTGACAGGAACCGACCTGGCTGCGAGCTAAGTAGCTGTTATTGTTCAGGGCAGTTAGCGTTGGTGGCTAACTAGGCGTTACGTTAGCTAGCTACCTAGCTCACTGGCTCTGAACTCTGTTAGCTAGCGTTAATTTGGCAATACCTCGTTTCAAATTCTTAGAAAAATGTGCTGCCCTTTGCGTGAACACTTACAAAAAACGTGTCGTAAATTGCCAAGGCAAATTATCTACGACTGGTATGTAAATTTGGCACTTTGCTTGAAGTGTTGCTTGCCAGCGAGCTAACTATCTGTCTGCTACCCTCAGCTACTCTGTTCCCCTTTCACTTCCTCCTCCAAAACAACGCCTGCGTCCTACGTCAGACGCAGTCGACTAAAAATCTAAGCCCACGTGTGACTTACATTTTGCATTACAGTTTTTCTAAATCGTTTACTGAAACAAACGTACAATTGTCCACAAACCACCTGGTACATTCAGCACACCACTCTACGTGACCTGCAAAAGGTGACTACTCAATCAAAAGAATAAACTCATTTTCAAATGTAAATAAATCCAATGAATAAATCATTGTAATCAAAACAAAAGTTTCCTTTAGACTAAGACAGTGTGCAAAATGCAAAGACATCTTGTCAAATGACAGTGAAAGTGTGATAGTTACCCACTATGTAATATGGTCATATTGCTAACATTGTATTTTTAGGCAGCTGCTATTGATGTCAGCCATGGCACACACTATACTTTACTGTAAACTAAACATTTATTTGACAACACTGTTGACCGGCCCAAATTAGGCTGCAAACTCTGACCAGCCTCTGTCATACTTCAGCCATGGTTGATTACATGGTATATAATTGTTGCCTGTATCTCATTTATCTCATATATTTGTTACTGCTGGCTGTAATCCAAATTTCCCCTTGGGGATAATAAAGTTACCTTGTCCCTTGAGATTTCTCCGTGTCTTTGCCTTTCTCTGGCTCTTCCTCATCCTCTATGGAGAGGGGCTCCATCTTCCTCTCCCCCTCACTATACCACCCCGCCCTCTAATGCCCCTTCTCTTACATGGCAGACTCTTGTCCCTGTCTGTCTCCTGCATGCTCCATTTTCCAAAGTTGTAACATTGAGTCTTACCGTCTGCAGTATAAATTGGTTATGCATTTTATATGTCAGGTAAAATTAGACAGCAGTTGGTTGCTCTAAATTTTGAGGAAATTTAATTGTTCCCCATCCAGCCTAAAGCTGATGATACACAGAGCAACTTTTAGAGCAATCATGCAGGGCAACGTTGCCGTCATTGGTAATGAGTAAAGATTACCATAATCCCTATCCCCCACCACTCTGCCACCTGCCCCGCACTGCCGCTATCCGTACAAAACGTAGTCAGACTAGCAAGATTGCCCAGCAACATTGCTCAAAAAGTTGCCCCCTGTATCATCAGCTTTAGTCTATCCATCTGACAACTTTTACAACAATACCGCATGACAGGTTAGTGTGATTGTTGGCCGCTCTATTTAGCATTTAGAGATATATACAAAGAACATGAGAAGAATTGTATTTGAGAGAAATAGCAGACAAATACAAAGTATTTTGATCTGTAAGGCTTAGTCCTTAGTAATGTAAACGATTATGGTTAAGTGAACAACTGACCTAAAGTTCATTTAAATAGTAAAATTATTTGACAAAGTTTAATAGTCATTCGACGATTGTGTCAAAGCGATTGTGGAAAAACTGTAAGGTCACAAAGGATTAGTATAAGATCAGCTTTGCTGGATCTCTGCCACACAGTCTATGATCCCTGCACATGTGGGTGTTAAAGGGGTACTGCAGCAATTTATTATTTCACTCCCAAAAAGTTGTGGGATTTAAGCTGCGCATGTAGCCATGCATTTATACTTGTGTGTTGGTGTCAGCATTGTTCTGCAATTACACCGCCAAAACAGTAGTTAGCGGTAGCACTACAGCGTCAACTGTGTTGCCTTTTGCTGGCCGAACAAGCTAATTTCCTGTTTAGCTCTCCGCTAACTTGAATAGGGGTAAAATGATATACAGCACATGTGGCTCTGATAGACCTTTCAAATGGTATTGACCAAATGGTTCCAATTCTGATAGTAAACCTAGTCTGTGCGGGTTATGACGCTCAAATATATTGATCCAATGTGTTACAGCCGCTGGTTTGGCTGCTAGTAAAATTTATTTCAAAGCACAGAGCACTTCCTCTTGGCTCAGAGGCAATGCCAGGCTACCCAGCCGACCAATCACAGTTCTTGCGGTACATATTGCCGTGATGTGTAGTTACATTTTTGGGGAGGCGCACCTCAGGCTACAGCGGAGGGTACAGCCTAGGGTACGGAGCTACGATAAATGCATAAGTATAAATCAAGCTTTACAGAGGCTGAGATCCAGCTTGTTCATGCAAAAGACAGGGACTGTAACCAATCATATGTAGTGATACAATGCCAACTGGATCCGCCCACTTACAGCAAAAAAGATAAACAGCTCGCGAGCAATCATGTTAAAATTTTGTGAGCATCAGAGCAAGTACTTGTACTTCGGATTCTGCGCTCAAAGCATAGCTTTCTCCTCACGGGTTACAATAATGCTCCCACAAGCAGAGACGTGTGTCCCCTACATCCTGGCGCGGATCACATTTGCGCTCGAGCGGCTCTCATGTACAGTTTTTGGCAGTGATATGCCACCATAGCTTGCACTTGCTTGGACCACATTTTCTCATTTGGCTGGAAAATGCCTTCAAATTCAACCTCCCCTGTCCCTGTGCTCCCCTTTATTTTGTCATTGCAGTGTGCTCTTTAGCAGTCAGAGATCGATCATGATTTTTTCCTATACCAGACAGGTTTTCGGCATCCATACATCAGTAGGTTCATGATGGAGCCTCATCACCTCTCTGATTTCCCTCCTAATGTCTTGTGTGTGTGGATACTACAGCACCGATCTGAGGGGGCCATCTTACTTTAATCAGTCCCCCCACCAGTGATGCCCTTTCATCTTTATATGATCAACATAACATGTTAAAGATGTGATGTTTCAGTGTCATTAATTGTAGTGAATCATAGTCAAAATGGAGAGCAATGATTATTCACCACCAGGGGACAGTGTCAACTCATTTTGAATGAATGAACCAAATAAACTGGTTGTCCCAGACATTAGCACATAGTTTTGTTCTGCACCTCTGTAGAGCGATGTAGCACACTCTGGTGTTGACATTCTGCTGTGTAAAGGTATAAGACGGGTTAGTGATCTGCTTCTGTGATACATGAATGACCGACTTTGTCCTCTGAACACTAAAACACAGTGTTGCAGAAACATACATCCTTTACAACCTGTCTGCTGCAGACTGTTAGTCCATGAGATAAAATGTATTTTTGCTGTTGTGTGTGTGTTTGTGTGTGTGTGTGTGTGTGTGTGTGTGTGTGTGTGTGTGTAGTTGGTGGGAGGGGTAGGAGAGCTTTAATATCTTAAAAATGCATTTCTGACAGAGACAGTTCCGTCTAATGAAAACACATTTGGATTTAAATATATGAGAACACGGAGTAGATATCATAACTCTTTACAGAAAAACTTTATATTAATATATGTAACATTGTATTGATAGCAAGTGTGTGCTATTGATATAATAACCTCTTATTATGTGGCTATAGTATGATATGAAAGAAATAGAAATAATGCCACTTAAATATTACTGTAAACTCATAGCTGAGTACCACAAACACACTTTGCTGTAAATAAGTTGTTAAAGAAATGTGATTTCTGGTTAGTGAGAGACACACACTTTTCTGTCAACAGCCGAACTGTGTCACAACCTATATTAAGAAATCCTCTACCTTAATACATTTCCAACTCTTCAGATACAGCTTCATTAAAGTGAACTGAGTTGTATCACAATAGTCACATATGTTTTTTTTCCATGGTCTTACTGTGCATCATTTATTGGAGAATGTGTAACATTAATATCCTGTGCATTATATTTCTTACATTGGTATATTCACTTTATAAGAAATTCTGTTTTATTCTATTTTTGGGTACCTTTTTAACATCAAGCCAGAGATGACAGGTGAAAATTAATTAATGCAGGTAAAAGAAATATAAAATTGTTGATAGAGAAATTCTGAACTGTAGAGATCTTATTATTTTAACACAAGGGCGTCTTTTTTTGTTAAAAAGTGGTGGGGATAAAAGGGCCCATATTAGGGGCATGATGATGCACTTGGGTCACAAGACGTGACGATGCACGAGAACAAGACGAGAAGATTTTTAACACTATTTTGAAGAAATATGAAGAGCTGAAATATATGAGCAGGGGGGTCTTGGGGTCCTCTCCCAGAAAATTGGAGCATTAAACACTTAATTTCCTGCATTCTGGAGATATTTTCTGCCCAAATTTACGTTGGAAATGTCTTTAAATCTATAAAGGGAAACAAAAAATTCATCTGGCAGGGGACAAATAATAAATATAAAAATATAACAGAATATAATGCAATAATCAGCAGCTTGTTTTTTTTAAAAACTTTTTTTGGACAATGCACATTTGATTTTTCATATTCACATTCAATTGCATGTTTACTTATTAGGCAAATAAACATTTCTCAAAGCATTTTCATTTGTTAGTTAACATTTTTTACAAATTCTTTCAAAAGGTGATGGAGACAAAATCAACAATTTCAAAATGTGGTGGGGACATCCCCAGTGTAAATAATAATAATAATAATAATCTTTATTTGTAGAGCGCTTTTCAAAAACAAGTTACAAAGTGCTTTAACAAGTGTAAAGACAATAATACCCAAGAGACAATAATACAAAAACAATACAAGATAAAAGCATGAAAACATTGAAAAGACTAAAATAAACGTTTAAGATGAATATAAAATTAGTAAAATAGAATAAATAAAAGGGATAAAATAAAGTCAAATAAGATCGGGAAAGGCTCTCCTATCAAAGTATGTTTTAAGAAGGGACTTAAAAGAGTTCACTGACTCAGCTGACCTAATTTCCTCGGGCAGACTGTTCCAGAGCCTCGGGGCCCTGACAGCAAACGCTCTGTCCCCTTTAGTTTTCAGTCAAGACTCTGGAACAGACAACAGACCTCTGCCCGAGGATCTCAAGGTACGTGCTGGTGTGTATGGGACTAAAAGTTCAGAAATATAACAAGGCGAGAGGCCATGAAGAGCTTTAAAAGTGATCAATAGAATTTTAAAGTCAATTCTAAAACACACTGGGAGCCAGTGTAATGAAGCTAAAATAGGAGTAATGTGGTCATATTTCTTTATTCTGGTTAAAAGCCTGGCAGCTGAGTTTTGGACAGTCTGGAGTCGATCAATAG